GTAAGGCGTTTGTTGAATCGGTATTTTTTTCTTTGCTTATCTTTAATAATAGATTCATCATGTTTTGTAACAATGTGAGGGATTAAGATTGGGTTATCCTAGATAAATAAAGAAATCAGCCACAAATATAAATAAACTATTGTTGAAATTAAACAAACATTAATATACTGTAAATCTGTAGAGGAGTCAATATTAGAAGTATATTTCTAGCAGTTGGGGGGGGGGGGCTATAATCAAAAAATATTTTTTGGGGACTTATCAAGCCAATCATATTTTTCTAAAGGTTTATTTTGCATTTGTTCATTATTAATGACTGATATATCAATATTTGAACAATTATAAAGAGGAAATAAGATGGGGATAGTTAACTAAAGTAAAAACAAAACAATTCTCAAGTTAATTTTATAAGGTGGGATTAAAATAAAATACCATTCGAAGAGTCCAATTGGCAAATTAAAAAAAAAAATAGGAACCTTTTGAATAGATATATAATAATTTAAATAATATAAATGCCATAGTATGTATTTTGTTTTGGAATAAATGTAAAATCATAAAGATAGAAAACCCCGTTTTGTCTTTTTTATTGGGTTACACAAAAAAATTAGTAAAAATTAAAAGAAGTATTGTTTAAAAGGTAGGATCCTTAAGAATAAATATATAATTTTAATTGAATAAAAAAAATATTGTAATATATATATCGATTTTTTGGATAGATATAAAATCCTATATAAAATTATTTATAATAAAAATAATGTACTTATTTTTTTGGTGAGTTATACAAAATAATCAGCATGGAGGCCATCTCCAAATATTATTTATTTTAATCCGCATATACATTTATTATTTTGCATATAGTATATAATTTCTCTTGTTACTGCTCTAAAATTAGCTATTGGAAATATACTCATTTATATTATGGCAATACATAAATTAAAATTTTTTCTTTTATATCCGTCCTTAATCCTATACATATAATATTTTTGTTCAAACTCTGATATCTTATGATTTGTGATCCTTTGTCATTTGCTATCAGCACTATTTGTGTTCTGATTCCGCTCCATTTGTAATTACTAGTGTTGTTAAACGGTTCGTTTTGAGCCGATTTTCAAAAACGGCTAACTCAATGCTTCATCCAGAAAAATACCACGCAAACCTGAAGATTTTGCTCATAGAAGGAACAAAGGTCTATTATATTAACGAAATCTCGAGGCTTAGGCAATATTTTTCTGGCTAAAATATTGAGTTAGCCGTTTTAAAAAATTGGCTCAAAAAGAGCCATTTAACAACACTAGTAATTACCAGGCTACACTCCCTCCCGTGCCAAGGCGTAGCCCTTATATTAGCAATTTTTAGCTGTCTAAGAGATATATCTTTTTAGCATCATCCTTATTATTATCATTGTTTCCGTCAAATTGTATGTATGTTAGTGATCTGCATCGGGCCTAATTTTTCGCCCGGCCCGAAATTTTTTTAAAAAAAGATTTGCCGGCCCGGCCCGTTCCCGAAATTTTTTAAAAAAGTTTTGTCGGCCGGAACCGAACGCGAAATTTATTTTAAAAAAATTTAGCGGCTCGGCCAGGCCTGAATTTATTTAAATATAGAAATTAATTTTTATAATTACTTAAAATAAATGACATGTTATATACAGGGTTGCCAAGTCTTTCCCCATCAGCGGGAGACTCCCGCAATTTTTTAGCTTACACGCAGACATCTCTTTCCCGCAAAACTACCGCAATTGGAAATCTCCCGCAATTTATAAAAAAGTATTTTAACGTTTTTAATATATAAATAATAATTTTGAGAGACAGTAATTGATTATTTTAATATTTTTATTTTAAATATGAAAAACATGTCTAAGTTGTAAATTTCTCTTTATCCTGTTTTATTTTAATCCAATAATAAATCAACATCATTTCATTCATATAAGTCAGTACAGGGGAGAATATCGTATATATCGATTGCTATACAAAAATATTTTCCAAAAATAATAAATAATACAGATGCAACTACAGCTGCGGAAATTGTATAAACCTATCATGTGGTTCAAAATTCACAGAGCTATATCATCACAATGTCGAATCTTTTTCCCATGATATTTAATGACTTCAATATAAGTGCAAACCTTACTTGGTTTTAGTACCTGAATCCTATAAATTCTAGACGATTTAAAGGTTGGGCATCCATATGCAATTCTAATGGATGCATCTAATAAGGGAAATATTAAAACATTTCCCTTGATCCTTCGCTATTTCAACTAATAAGAACATTTCAATAAAATTGTTAAAAAATTTTTCCTCGGATAGTGAAAAATCCAACCATGTAGCTAACCACATAATGTAAATATAGCTGATTCAGGGTTATCAATGAATTTCATGTCAGCTATCCGCGCTGATAACGCCTCTGTAGGAATGGTGTGAGTTGTTGAGATATGTACCTATCAGGTGGTTATCATTAATACTTGCCATCGATAGAATTTTAAAATTTTACAAACGCTTAAAAAAATACTTAATAAATAAAGATTTTAAAAGCTGTCCTAAAATTTTGAAAAATTTTTTGGATTATGAAATGGCAGAAGCATATTTGGGATTAGTTTTACATGCAGGAAATCTACTTCATGCAGTTAATATTCAGTTGTAATCAGAATATTCTTTATTAATAAAGATTCACAAAATCATGCTACAGCTCTTTTCATCTCTACAGTTAAAAATTGATAATAAATTTTATGTCAATATTTCTAAAAATATTATATTAAAATGTTCAAATAATACTCTAATTATTACATTTTTTAAATGAAGCAGATATTTTTATTAAGACAATTTTAGAATATTTACAATTAAAATTTGATTTTAATAACTCTATTGACAAATGTATAAATATGACCTTGGAACAGAAACCATCAATTGATGGTTTTTGTAATTTAATAAATATATTAAAAATACTGAAAAACATTGATATCTAATTTGAGGAGATTGTAATTCTCTCTATTTTTTATGATTAGCCAGAATATTTAAAGTTAGATGGTCTCTAAAAGAAGAGGAGAAATGGGTTGAATTTTTTTCGTAATAACAATAAATCCCCATACTTGGTAAAAAAATGTGAGTATCTCTTCTTCTTACCTCATTCTAATGCCTCATCCGAACGCATTTTTAGCCTGATGAAGACTGCCTGGAAAAAGGGGAGAAATTGGATTGCTTTAACAACAATAGAGGCCGAGCTAATGGTTAAACAAATTTAAAATATCTCATGCCAAGAATTTTATAAATATCTCAATAACGACTGTAAATGTTTAGTTCCATTATTTAAATCTCAAATAAGTTATAATTAACATTATAACTTTATTTAAGAAATATATTTTTAAAGGTTTATAAAATTTTAAGATTCTATCAATGGCGGGTATTAGGAACATATCGCTACCAACATTGTGCTGACTCAATTCTGTAAATACACTCTGGTTTTATCAAATTCACTGAGGCATTATCAGATCAGAAAGCTGACATGCAATTTATTGATAATCCAGAATCTGCTATATTTACCATTATATGGTTAACTATGTCTTTGGATGTTTTACTATTTAAAGGGAAAAAATTTAATAATTTTCTTGAAACGTCCTTAATTTTGTATAATAGCGGAGGGTCAAAGAAAATATTTTAATATTTCCCTTATTAGATGCATCTGTTAGAATTGCATATGTATGCCCATCTTTCAAATCGTCATGAATTCACCTCCTGAATAAAACATTGATGATATCCTTGATCATTTTTGTTCTACAAGTAAAGTTTTCATTTATCTTGGAGTCGTTAAATATAATGGGGAAAGATTCTACGCACATTGTAATGATAAGTAGCTCTGTGAATGTTTTACTACAAGATAATTGATTACAATTGCCGCAACTGTAGTTGCATCTGTATTATTCTTATTTTTAAAGAATATTTTTGTTTTGTAATGAATGTAGAAACACTCTCCTGCACTGCTTATAATAATGAGATTGAACAATAATAAATAAAATAATTATCATTGAAATGAGTACAATATTACCTTATTATGTATTTAAACCCCTATAATGTTATACACACACACAAGGTAGATTTCCAATTGCGGATGTTTTGCGGGACATTCGCGTAAAATATATTTTATACATTGTAAAATTAATATTGATTGTTTTTTTTATAAAATTCTATCTTGTTTACATCTTTTATATTTAAAAAGGATCGTTAGTTTTTTTATAAATTAAAATATTTTAATAAATCAAGATGTTATTTTATTTTGAAAAATAGTTATAGACATTGTATTTATATAAACTAATTATAAAAAATATAGGCGGATAATTAAGTCAATTCAAAATCCCGGCCGAAGGGCAGCACTTTGAAGGCCTTCTGGCCGCAAAATTTTTTTTTTTAACAATTTTATATTTCTATCGCAATTTTTATATTTCTCACGCAAAATACCAAATTTCTCCCGCAATTTGAACATTTTGACTGGCAACTCTGGTTATATAGTGTTTAGTTACAATAAATTAAATCAAAAGTTTTAATTTTACATAAAAAAATCAATATAAAATTGATAAATTTAGATATATTTAATAAAATTTACAAGGTCCGACCCGACCCGGCCTTTTTTAAAATATTATGCCCGGCCCGAACCCGATTATTTTAAATAGAATTAAGCCGGGCCTAGCTTTGTAGATCTCTAGTGTATGTATGGATGTTTTATTAGGAGGACCTCCATTGAAGTAATTTATATTTGATCAAAATTGACGATAACAAATTTTTTGTTAATTTAATTAAAATGAACCATAATATTGTAAAGAATTGTTTATATAATAAAAAATAAAAAGAATCACGCATGAATACGGCCCCAAATGTTATGTATCTGACTGGTCACATTACCTTTGATATAATGCCAATCGTTTCCTCTGTCAAATGGCAATAAAAAATAAGTAAAGTTTAATACCTTCCCATGATCTCAACCATGACCTAGAATTATTTTCCTATATAATCAATGAGCAAAAAATTAAGTTATAAGCAAAATAAAATAAAAAATCAATCGTTGTTTGATAGAATTACTTTTCTACAGTTTTTATTATTTATTATCATGATAATTTCTATATTATTGTTCATTTTTTGTAATGGATTTGGCTATATTACAAGTGGACAATATATTAGTAAAGATGCTCTATTAAAAATTAAGGTATATTTTATATACTAAAAATATTATGCTTAGATAATTTTTATATATGTTTTTACTAATAATAAATAAAGCACTTGATAAACAATTATACATGAATTTACTTATTATTATTGCACAACTTTATTAAAATTAATAATGAGCATGTTAAATGATTGTAAAAAAACCCATTCATTAATTTTTTAGTTTTGTTAAAGTTTACCATTATTTAACTATGTTTTTATGAAAAAGTAAATGCATAATTTTGAAAGATTTGAGTTTTGATATAACAAAAATAATAACTAGTGAAATTTAAATTATTTTCTAAAATATTTATATATATTTCTCTCTCATTCATTCTATCTATATGGTGATTTCCCCAATAAAAAATTAATTTTCCAAAACAAGATTTTCAAGTTTTACTTAAAATTCTAGATCTTTTTAATAAACTAACTTTTTTTGTTATCTTCAAAGATTTATTAAAATTTTGAACAAAAAAATCTCTAGTTTATTGTCTGTAAATTCAATTAAATTTTTATTCAAAATAAATATATTGATTTATATATTTTGCAGTGCAAATAAATGTTATATTATGGTGTTTTAAAGTGTAAATAAATATATTACAGTATTTTTTGTAAATGGTATTTTTTAAGAATTTATAAATGAAATTATTTTGTATAATAAAATAAATTAAAAATGATGAGTTATATAAATAATTAATAAAGTAATTTGTAAAGTAAATTAGGTACTTTTTAAATGCAACTGTAATGATCTATTATTTACCTTCAAATAAATGTAACTGAAATTAGTTACTTTTAGTAAGTAACTTTGAAATGTACTATGAATTCCTAAAATAATTGCTAATTTATTTAATTTTTTAAAATTTTCATATATTTTTTACATTTTTTTTTTGATGTAGCGAACCCATAAACCAAAGAACTTATCAGAAGATCAAATAAAGCTATTATTAAATCATTTAAATTATTCATTATTCCTACAGGATTTAAAAAATATATTGATACCTAGGGTATCAGGAACAGAAGGAAATAAAAAAGTTACCAGTGTATGTATTTTTTTTAAATTATATTTTTTTCATGTTTACAATCGATTTATAATTGCAAATCTTATATAATCTTTTCCTATGCTGTCTAAAATAATCAAATCAAATAATATATAATTTAATAAAAATAACAAATAAATTAGATATATATATATTTTCTAAAAAACTAATTTTATTTAGCATAACACAATTATTGTCTTATTTATAATCTATAAACCTACATATAAGACAATTATGATTATGAAAAAATAACCATTTTTAAAAAGCTGTTCTTTCAAGCAAAAGGGTTTCCTAATTGTATCTTTTAAAGCATGCCATTTTATTAATAATCATATTGGTGCCTTTAAAATACGCTCCTTAGTGTTGTTAAATGGCTTATTTAACCGATTTTAAGATTTTAGTAAAAATAATATTACGCAGGCCTCGAGATATCGCTAATAGATATCAAACCTTTCTCCCATCCATGAGCAATCTCCAGGCTTGCTCAATTTTTTTTTTTAAAATTGGTTGCCATTTTTAAAAATCGAGCCGTTTAACAATATTAGCTATAATAAATATAGAAAATCTATATTTTATTAGTTTTACGAAATTCTAAACAAAAGGAACACAAATAAACCAATTAAGGCAAATGCCAGAAAAAAAATAAAGTTAATAACGAATAGTTGAAAATTTTAAAATTTACGATTCTAAACAAAATTACGAAGAATTTAGATTTATTTATTTGTCTATTTTTTAAAAATATTATTCGTATTAACGAATAGAATATTTTCGATAGGCTTATTTTATAATTATTCGCGTTTATATTTAATTCATTTAAAAAAAAATTAACATGGATTGAACAGTACATACTTAGGCGTTTAAAGGATGATATTGGAATGAAAACCGAAAATTATACCCACTGTCAATTAGTGCCCGTTTTACACAAGGATCGATATGTTATGTTTCATGGGAGAAATGACATTAAAAATAGTGTAGTGGACAATACGAATGGAGAAAGAATTGGGGCTGAAATATGGTTACTTTAAAAAAACACTAATTATTATTGGGCCGGGAGTAGACTAAACGGCCCGATTTAGCCAATTTTGAAATAAAATTTTAGCCATAATGATAATACGCAAACATTATGATTTCATAAATAGATGTTCAAATCTTTCTACCATCTATGAGCAAAATCTTCATGCTTGCGTAAAATTTTTGGGCTAATAAAATATTGAGTTACCCATTTTTTAAAATTAATCCGTTTAACAACTTTAACGAACTAAAAATATTGAGGCAGACTGGAAAACTCGTCCAAAATATTTTTACAGACTGGACCTGGCAATTTGTACAAATCATTTTTTTACATGCCAATCCAAAAAAACACTTTTTAAAATTTAAACGGACCGGTTCAAATTGGGTCAGACCATGCTGGTGTCTTTTTTAAAAAAAAATTAATATAAATTTATGGCTAAGTAAAAAATTATGTCGGATAAACTCTTAGCATATGTCACACGATTATATCTTATGACAAAATAATTCTGATTGGATTAGAGGAATTTAGAAAAATATTATTTTAAGCCAAACAATTCTCGATAGTAGTGCTGAAAAACAAAATGAATTTTAAACACAATCAAGATATACGATTATTTTTTTTTTGAATAATTCAACCCATTTAAAATCCAATGTTACCATTTTTCTTTTTTTCCTCCCAGCGCTACACGCGAATTTGGTTCCCTTTCTAAATGGCTATAAATTGGGAATCTGGTTTATATCTCCTAGAAATTTTTAAGTAAATTTGAAATTATTATTAATAGATGCTAGAGATTGAGTTTTTAAAAAAAATTAAAAATGGAGATATTATCATTGCTCTCATATTAATTACAATTGTAGATTTTTTAAAGACTCGATTTAAATACAAGTGTTTACCTCCTTAGAATCCATTAATATTAATTTCAAATTTAATTTTTTAGGTGATATAAGCGAGTTTCCCAATTTTTTCTGATTTTTATTTTAGCGATCTATCCCGCGAATTTCGGCAAATTACCTTATTAGTTATTACTTAATCAGTGAATATTTTCAGGCTATGAAGCCAAATAATGTTCAACTCCAGGAAGTTATAAGATGCACTTATTAAGCTAAGTAGTAGATTTTATAGGTAAATGAGTTTTCATCTATTAATTTCAAGCTTTGGCAATTTATTAAAGGATTAATCAATTATAATAGTGCACACAAATTAAGCGTTCCAAATGGTACCCTGCAAATTGATTAAAATACAGTTTGGCGTTGGAAACCATTTTGAAAAACGAAAACTGGTTTGATTTTTTCATTCAGACAATAAATTTACAAAAACCAAATCTTTTTTAAAATAAGAAATTTTGAATCGATAATACTATTCTAGGATTTAAAAAAACAACCTCAATTTAAACAAAGGATGCGTTATGTTCTTTTTATTAAAAAGGTATGGCAAAACTACCCGCTCAATTTATGCCTGCCCACTATAACAAGAATAGAAGCAGATATGCATTTTCGCATATTTTTTACGCACTACCTGGCCCCACTACAAAGAGGGAAATATAATTTACCCTGGCAAAATTTAATTTTCCAATAATCAATCTCACTTACGAAATTCCATATTTTACTTATGTTCTCATCGCACCTTATAATCACTTATTTTTTAAAATGTTATTAAATATACAAAGCTTTTTTATGAATGACGGTTGTAAATTTCAATTGCAATCTTTTATAAGCCGCTAGAAAATTATTGATATACACAAGAATTTAATATCTTCTTATACATATTTTAATTAAAAAAAATATAATTAGTGCGAGGGGTAGAGGGGGAATTTTTATGTTACGCTTCTAAGAATTATTGTCCCATTTATGCCAATAGCTCCAAAGAGGAACCTTTTTTTAACATTCTCATTTCTCTCAATAAATAACGAAAAGCTATTATATTATTCTTTTTTCTCTTTATTTTATAAGTTTTAATAATTTGGCATCCGAAACCAATCCAGATGCATTGAGAAGCCTCGTCTTGGCTTGCCATCACGATTCCAAATACCGCCTGGAGGAATACAAATACAAACAGTATCAAAAAGCTCAAAAATTTAGGGCACACGAATCCGAATTTGAAAGTGGTTACTCTTTAAATATGATTATTTCTTACTATTAATGCGAAATTTTTCAATTATTTTTTTTAAATTTGTACCTTTTTTAATTATTTTATTTTTCCCTTATTCTAATATTTCTTTTATCTTTTTTTGTGACAAACGTGTATTTACCCGATTTTTTTTTTAAAAAAACCCGAAACCCGATCGGCAGAGCTTTACTGATCTCTACTTTATATTAAAAAAATGTTTATTTTTTAGATAAATTATTATTAAAATTTTTTTTTAGATAATTTTGATTCTGATCAGAGATTTACTCAAGAACCTCAATTTTTGGGCGCGACTGATTCTGCCATTCCTTGCGCTATCATGATCAATTTAGCCCAAGCTTTAAGCAGTCCGATAAGATGTAACTCTAAAAATCGGGTTTTCTTCTTATAGTACCTAACAATTATTTGATAGATTTGCTTTTTTTTAAAAAACTATAATTCTATGATTTATGGGGAGGGGGCTGGATACTTGAATGGATGGTTCAATGAGCTAAAATGTTACTCCAGTTTCAAGTGTTCATAAAATATTAAGGCCATGTTCTGGTTCGTCTTATTCCTAAACAGGTGTCTGCTGTTTAACCATCTATATAACCTCCTCTAAAAAGCTTAGAAAAGAGGCTATTTAGATTTGCGTAAAAGATTATTTATTTATACCAAAAAAATATATAAATAAATAATATAATTTTTTTAAATGGTCGGACTGGGCCTGAAAAATTATTTTCTAAAAAATACCCAGGTCGGTCTGTATATTTTAAAACTAAATATTTTAAATCATTAGCTATAGGTCTCCGATATTTATATAGTTAACAAAAAATAGGGTATTTTAATAAATCAATTTAGCCCGGGCTAAACAGAAATAAGTTTCTGTTGCATTCGAAGTCCTAAGATTATTTAAAGTTCGGACGTAGAGGGGCAAGGGTAATCATAAGATTTGGTGCGCCTGCTAACTCAGGATTGAGATGAGGCGGAGTAATCCTCCCCCCTTCCTCCGTTTTCAATCTAAATTTACGCAAACTTCCCCGTTCGCGTCATGTTTTATCATTATTATTTTATGTTTTCCTCTTAAAAATTTCAAAGGAAGATAAGATATCTTTACAAATGCTGTTTTTTGACGGGGAAGAGGCATTCGATATCTGGTCTCCAGATGATTCCCTTTACGGTTCTCGACATATGGCCAATCTGTACCAAAAGCAATTTATTCCGCTCGGTGAACGAGAATCTAATGGCAAGATTAATATGTTGGAAAGAATAGTTTTTTTTTCTCCCATATTATAACATAATATATAATCATTTTGTTAGTATTATTGCTTATATTATCCTCCCAAACTCAAAATCGTTTCGTTTTATTTTTAATTAACAGTAATTAAGAGGCTTGACATTTATTTATCCCTCGATATGGATAGTCAAAGTATAATATCGCTGTTTTTTTTAAATTTGAAAAAGGTAAAAGAATAATGTAAGGTATAGCCCTCTCTACCCCCCCCCCCTTCCACCAAAGCTTTATATTAAATACTCACTTAGCTTTACTCAAAATATTCGTAAAAATATGGCGAAGATTGCTTTTTATATTCGCTAAGGTGCTTCTAAAATTTAAATATAAAAAAATTGATTATTCATCGATTATTTATTCTCAATTAGTTAAAAAATAATTTTCTGTTGAACCGATCCTACCTTATTCAACCTAAAATAAATATTGGTAGAAAAGGTACCATCTATTAAGGAAAGCGGAGAAATTATAGGCGTTTTATTTTCCTGACTCCAAATCCGGATCGAGTAAGATTTTGCCCAAATGCCCCTGCTCGAAAATAGCATTTTAAATAGCCCGACATTCAAGAGGACGTCTATTCGAGTTCGGTCACCGGATTCTTGGACATATCCTTGCAGGACTCTAATAATAAAATTTTATTGTTAAAAATAAATTCTTCCCTCATTAATATATAGGGTCTTTTTGTTTTGTTGGATTTGATCGGAGAAAAGAGCACGCGATTCTATGATTTCTTTCCTTCCACCAATAAAAATTTCCAACACCTCGTGAATATAGGTAATTAATTCTGCTAATGTTTATCTCCCGCTTAATATTCCAATAAAAATAAATACCTTTTTATCCATTTAAAACATGGATTAAGGGCGGTTTTAAATTAATTTGTTTTTGCTCGGGGAAGGGATATTTTTGCCGTACACTTCTGAATTAAGGACGTTATATTATATATGTTATGTGGTAATAGGGTTAATTATAAAGGGATTCGAATTTAATTTTAGTAAAGCTAATGTAATGGAGTATATATATTACTTTAATTTTCCTTTTCATATTTTTTTATTTAACTGTTCTGACCAACAATTATCTTTTAAAATAAAATAAGTACACTTATTATATCTTAAAATTATAATGAAATATAAAAAAATACATATATAAAATGTTATGAAAGATACTTTTATAAATAATTATTTTAAGAAAATAGATTACATAGCTACCAACTGCTAAGTCCATCGAACACTCTCCCCCTCAGGTATTTTACTAATTCCAATCTAAGATCTCATGGGGTAGAAGATGATCACATTCCATTCCTAGAAAAAGGTTAGAATTTTTTTTCTCAAATTTTTTTTTACTTTATCGAGATGATCACTAAATAAGAACACATTCGATATTTACAATATCTTTATCCATACATTGAACACAAATCATTTTTTCGATTATATTTCATATTATACCCAGCCCCCCCTTCTTTTATCGTCCATTTTTTACCAGGGATGCGAACCCGGCAAAAATTTTGCCCGGGTTCGGTTCGGGTTCAGTTTAAGGTTTAAAAAAATTAGGTCGGTTCGGTTCAGGGAAATATTTTTGAACCCGGGTTTGGTTCCGGGTTCAGCTCGGGTTTAAGAATTTTTAAATTGATAAAAAAAAATATTCTATATTTAAATCATAATAAAAAACTAGATAATATTGGTATAAAAAAATAAATTTTTTATTTTATTTATAGGCAAAATATAGTTAAAAATACAAAGCATAGTCATGTATAATTTAAAAAAATTTTATTTATACGTATTTCTTTAAATTAACAATATCCAATATAATAATTTTTACTTTGACTTGTTCACTTTCATTTTCCTCTAATTAATAATCTTTGAGAATAAGTTAAAAATTAAAAATAAATGGCGTAAATGTATTTAATTGTTTAAAATTTATTAACAATCTAATAGGAATTTTTGAGAATAAATTATTTTAAAAAATTTAAAAATAGAGTAAATGAATTAAGTTGTTTAAAATTTATTAACACTTCACTTAATTGGAAATTTGAAAATATTATAGGTAAAGTAAATTATTAATATTTGTACAAATATCTTATATTAATTTAAACAATACACTGAACCCGGTTGAACCTGGGTTCAAAAAAAATTCCCGGGTTCGGTTCGGGGTTTTGAAAATTTTATAAACGGGGTTTAGGTTCGCTTCGGGTTCAGATTATTTTCCCAAAAACCCGGGTTTTCTTTTCCGGGTTCGGTTCGAACCCCTGTTTTTTACTCGCAGAAATATAATTTTAAAACGAGTGAATATTCTAATAAACCACAATGTACTTGCTTATTCTATGTTCGATTAATTCAAAATATAAACTTATAATAGGAAAGATCCGCCATTTTCCATGACATATGATTGTATATATTTTTTAATTCATATCGAGGGTGATCAAGCATTTTTAACACGATCAGTGTAATTGCATTTTGAAAAATATCAATATTGCTTCCAGATTTTGAATTTATATAAAAGGCTTAGTTCTAAATATATTTTAAAAAATTTCAAAACTTTAGTTATATAAAATTATTAGGCATATCGAAAATCTTCCATTAAAGATTTTTTAAAAATGTAAATTAATTATTGCTTACTTTTTTTCTTAAAAAGTTTATAACTAAGCTAAAAATTATTAAATTTTTATAATTTCTTAAACTTTATTAAATTTTCGTAAATTCGAAAAAATGATCTAGGCCACTCTTTTATTTTTACATTAAAGCTTTTTTCGTTAAAGTTAGTATTATCTAATAGGTTGTATATAAAAGATTATGATATTCAGGGTTTACCATTATTTTCAAACACAAACTCAATTTATGAGACCACAAAATAGTATAACTTCATTTTATATGCAATCCCTTTTCAATTCTAACATCATGAACAAATTATTTAAAAAAATATCAATTCTTTATTTCAAAACGTTCTTTCGAACAAAGCCCATTTTAAAACAAGCATAAAAAATGTAATTTTTTATACAGAGTATCTACTTATAAATTTATATTAATAAGATAATCTTAGTATTTCCTAAATATAATTAAATTAGATATTCTAACAGTTTAATGTCGTATTTTTTTATTAAAGATCTTTACTTTGTTTAATTTTTACCTGGATAAAGTTGCCTTATACATTTTTTGAAAATATTAAAAGAATTAAAAATAACTCTAAAGGTTAGGTGTTTAAAAGTATCACTTATACAATTGTTTTCTTCTTTTTAAAAATCATTATTTTAAGTCATACTCAACACTCGAATTTTCTTATAGGTACAAAAAATAGTTCAAAAAGGGAATACGCTTTCATAACATAAGCTAGAACTTATAAAATATTTTGTGAAATTATTTATAATGTATTTTTTTAATAATTAAGAATTATTTTAATTGAGTGTTTTTAGGAAAGAAGATTATCTATAATATTTAAACAGAAGATCTAGAAATTAGGGGTGTACCGATACCACCTTTTGGAGGCCGATCCGATACTCCCGATATTAAATTGATATTTGCCAATTACCGATCCGATATCATATTTAATTTTGTATTCTGTAAAGATACCAATGTTTTTAATTTTTAATATACTTTTTATTAGTATATATCAGAGGTCAGTCTGAGGCGATGGTAACTGCCAATATCATCAGATTCACTAAATATAGATTCTGAAGAGATTATCGTACACTTTTATAAACAGAATGCGCAAAAAATAGCAATATGGCAGAATGTTAATTATTATATACATAAATGGATTTCGATTTATTTATAAAAATAAATTATTTTAGATATAACTTTATTTTAAAATTTTATTTTTGTTAAAGACGCCATTTTATATTGCAGATCGGATCTGAAAATTTTATAATATTGGCCGATAACCGATTAAAACGGGTGAAATATCGGTCCGATTCGATCCGACAAAAATATCGGTACATCCCTATCTGTTAAAATTTCAAGTGAATGACGCCCTATTTTTCAGTAGCTATAATTTGATGGCTATTTAGAAAAAGAAAATAATATATGACTATCTTGAGTATTTTTATTAAACTCTGTCGAAAATATATATAAATCAAATCAATCTATATAAAATAATCCAGTGTTTTACTATCAGAATATTTTTTTTAAAACTAATTAAATTATATTTGGGAAGTACAAACTTCTATTTCTTATTATATAATATAGATTTATAAGTAAAAAAAATATTTTACTGATGGACAAATTAGTATGTTTGACGAAATGGATTTTTGGTTAAACATTGGAAACCTCTGTATAAATACTTTATTTTGTATTAAAATTTGAGCCTAGGGCATTAACGTTTGGTAATACATATTATTTTTATAAGAAAGGCTTATAATTTCGGAAGATTTTTAGTTAAAACTAACTAATGCATTAAAATTTGATCACACAATTTGTTTTAAAATTAATAAAGTAAAAGTAACTAAACTGTCACTGTTGATAAAAATGTGGTTCATTCTTAGCTTAAATGGATAGAAATGTGTGGCTAATGAATCTCAGTTAGCCTGGAAATAAGAATAAAAACTTTACCTGCTATTTCGCTAATTTTTTTACTATTAATGATCAGGTTTCTTTTTATTTAATATATATCAATTCTATGCAGGGACTTGGAACGGATCGCTTAAGATTTTTAAAGGAACCGGAACGAAAATTATATCGTCTCAAGTGTCTGATTTTCTAATTGATATTTATAAGTATGCAAATTTTATTGAAGAAATAAGCACATCCATCAGCTTTAATAGGTTTTGTCATATTGATATTATCTATCTTTCTTCTCATTTTTTCCCCAATCAGGAGTTAAAATATTGCACCTGATTTCTTATCCCTTCCCCCATTCCTGGCATAAATTCGATGACGACGGGACTAATGCGGATTTCGACACCATATTGGATATCACCAAAATTCTGGCTGTTTTTATAGCCGAATATTTGAACCTTCGCGTCGATACCTCTACCATGGCATGCTAATACATTTTTTTTCCTTATCATTTTATAATTTATTCTCCCGAACATTTAAAAAAAATGAAACTATGCCTTGTGTAATCAAAAGTGTCTTTTTAATCGCATCCTATTATGAAATTGTATGTAATGAACCTACCATATGTGATTTTTTTTCATCCTTAGTGTTTGCATATTACAATATATAATTTAAACCCGTTTTAACTCCCATGATTATTTTAAATTTAATTTAAAATTCTCAGCCCAGGGAATGTTATTTGAACATCCATTTTTTTTATTTTTAAATTTGCAAAGCCGAATATTTGAATATTTTTTTTTCCATTCCTTTCAATTTTTTAAAAAAATTATTTTATTTATACCGTTTTAAATAGAATAATACGATTACAATTTTTCTTTATAATTTGGTCTCGGTGATAATTAGATTATTTAAATTATTATTATATAAATTTCTTAATTAAATTTTTTTTAATGGTAATGATTATATTAATGATATCTATAATAAAAACATTATATTCCGTTTTTAAACATTTTTTGATATCTTTAAAAAATATATAAATTAAATTTAATATAAAGAAAAAGGTTTAGGGTAATGGTATATATGCCAAAGGCTCGCATTGGGCCAAATTTGGCATTCAGGCTCATGGAAAAACCAAAATTTATGACCAATTTATCCAGTCTAAAAAATAATTATAATTTTAACCTAAGCCAGGTCTATAGTTATAATAAAACTATAAGCCCGGTCCGTGGGAAAATTGAAATCAAGGATCAGCTCGCAGTTTAAAAAAAGGGTTATATAATAATAAATTTACTTAATTTTTTTCCATTTTAAAAAGGATTATAGCATTTCAGGAAATATTTTATCTTCTTTTAAGTAAAATGAATATACTCCTTAAGTCTTACAAATTTATTTTATAATAAATTAAGCAAAAGTTTACATTACTGATTAAATTTGTTTAAAATATAGTAAAATAGCTTTAAGTAATAAAAGTAAGCGTAGTATCTCCAAAAGATGGTCTTAAATTAATAAATATTTAAAAGAAAACGGGTTTCAAAAGGGTGGCATCGCCTCAGTCTCACCCCATCAAATGGAATACTTTAGTAGTTTCAAAAGGCAGACACGGCCTGATTTTTTTTATATAGCCAAGAGTGACATCAACGCCACACTTCAATAAATCTAGTCAACGATAAATATTTAACAGTAGCTCACATACGTAGCCATCTTGAGTCCACCAACCTATCCCTCGCAGACGGATTGAGACCTGGCGAAATGACTAATTCCCTTTTCCTCATTTCTTTAATATGGGATCTTACTTGGGTTTCATCATTTCCTTCTAACACCAATATAATATATTAACCCAAGCCGAATCAAAAAAGATTAAAAAATACAAAATCTCAAAAATGTTACTATCCCAATAATAATCTCTCTACAAACGGCCACTTTTAGTAAAACTTTAAAACCTAGGCCTCAATATCAGACATTTCATCAACGAGACTAGGGAATTACTTTTGAAATTATTATATATAGAGATCTGCAGGGAACTCTGGTCAGGTCGAAAATTTTTAAAAAAATCCTGACTGGACAAATGGTGCCTATGCAGGTCTCTGATATATATTATTTTAAATATATTTTAATTTTTTATAGTTTTTTAGGCCAATGACTTTGCACATCAAACTTGTCTTTTTATGTTTTCATAAAATATTTAAACAAGCCATTTATTAATTATTATTATATATAGTTTTATATGCAAATTTATATAAATTATAATTTACTAAAACACCCAAATAAAAATTGATAGTATTTTTATTATTTATTTATATTTTGTAACACTTATTATCTTAGATGTCTTTTTTTTAAACTTTCTTTAATCGAAGGTAACAATAAAATATAATCGTGTAGCTAGCAATTATAATTTTTTGATTTAGGCATGCTGACAATTTATTTTTTACTAAATATAGATTTGTTATGCTTTTGCCCCTCTGAAAATATGCCACTAATTCAGTGGTGGTCGCTTTAAATGGAGGCATTTTGGTTGCCTCTTGATATTTTATTCCCTCGTGGCTGTACCTTCATTTTAACGAAGCAAAAATAAAATGGCTTCATCGATCGTTATACTTAGTTGTACTAAAAAATTGAATAGAGCATTTCAATTTTATTCTGATTAAGTAAGCCTGATTCAAATTCGGGCTAAATAAATGTTTCATGTTTCCCACTATTGTATTTGATAAGATAATTATAACAAGAATATAACCAATAACATATAAAATAAATAAAGATCTACAGAATATCAATAAAAATGCCAAATGTAATTATTCACTCATTCTGAAACTTTGAGCCTTTTTTCACTTCTACTTACAGATTTTAAATATAAATTGACTAATTAATAAGATATCACCAAATACCTGAGTTGATGTATATTTTATTATTTAATTTATAATTCGTTATTTTTGAATAATTGCTTTGAAAATCAGCACGCTTTCTGGTCCAACAGACACCCAATCGATAAAAGTATCGATCCCGATGATCTTTCCATCGGTTTTTATATCTCGTTGACTCGTGTTGGTGTTCTGATATGCATACCGATTTTCGTAGATAAGCTTCAATCTAAAGTTACACTTATCGCCGCCACAGCCCAGGTTCATATTTCTGAGAGTTATATTGTGAGATGAGTTCATAAAACTCTCCCAGGTGTGGGATAGTAAAGGGTTATAAAATAATAGGCTGTAACTCCCTGGAGGATAAGCTAAGGGTTTAGTCCATATTTCTATAAAATCGTCCTTGATTTGATAAAAAAAATAATTTAATATAATAGTTCAGATGAGTTTATAATTTATAGCTGACCTAAATTTTTATAGGATATTGAGCCCACCAAGGTTTATCTTATTCCTAATTCTCTTAAAACTAATCAAAATATTTATTTTTTAAATTAACTAAGTTATTAATTCCTTCTTCTTAGCAGTTTAATAAAATTACATTTATATGAGGTATCCAATAATTACAATTCTCTAATCATTTATACATAAAGTTTAAGAATTTACCGCAAATATTTATATCTTTTTTCAAAAAATTATATAAATGATATCTGTATCTCATCTTGTAAATCTAATTTTTTTATTTGCAAAAATATCTATCATTTTTCTTTCAAATTTGATTTTTTAAACTTAACTAACAAAATCGCGTATTCATACTTTATATTTTCTAGTCCCCATAACTCCTAGAGGATCCTTATTAAGCGCTATAAGCTCAGGGTGTTGTAGTATCTGAATATATTGTCTATCGATCGATCTTAAGTCATTGGACATCATTAGAGGTGCCGAAAGGAAACACCAAATAGCCATGTGAGTGGAGGCTTGATTGAAGCTCAGGCCTGAATTACCGATCACTAACTTTTTATTTAAATTATGCAGAATAATAATACATTGATCTTTGAGAGAGTATTTAGCAAAAATCTTACCTTCTTTACAATTATTTAAAAGGGGAGTGCTCGAATTAAATTTGGGCGTCTTTTGTCACTCCCTGGAGATGCTAATGTTTATGGACATTATATCAAATATTTAACAAAAAAATTTTTTTCATGAGCTTTGGACATCTACATGAATTAGAGGATACAACACCTAGCCATATGAAGGAAGATAATAGATCTTGAATAATTATAAATAGTTTTATAATTTTATAAGGAACAATTACAAGTAGTAATAAAAATGGGTGCTTAATTTTTATCAGATACGTACTAATTTTACTTCAATTTTAGCCCGACCCGATTTTTTAAATTAATAAGCCCGATTATAACCTGAAATTTTTAATTTAAAAAATATATTAAACACAGTTTTTTTAATAACTTGATAAAGTTTTGATATTTTTATTATTAGCCCTGTAAAAATGTTCTCTAAAATAATCAACAAACTTTCGGCATTTAGAACGGCTATTCTAAGGTAATTAACTGGTCAATTTTTTCTTTATAAAATTAATTAACATAATGTATCATACTTGATCCGGATCAAACCACTTGTTAGGACCATGATAAGGTGCGTATTGATCTCCATGATCGCTGTAATGTGAAATGATCCTCTTAACACTATTCCAATTTGTGTCGATATCAACAAAATTTCTCCAAGTATGACAATGTCTACCTATATATCTATAATCGGGCTGTCGATTTAAAATGTGAATAAGTGTATTTTATATTTATAATTAGATTGTGATGATCCACATATTTTTCACCGATACAATCCGATATTTATACTGTTCTTCCCCGTGAAATTAAATTCCGCAGATAACGCATTTTGCAAAATTATCTTTATCTTTTGTAAAATATTTCCATAATTCAGATACCATATTAACAAAAATTTTTTATTTAAAGTATAAATAATAAAATTGGCGTTATTATTTTAAAAGATTTAAAATAAATAAAATTTAAGGGGTGTTGTGCATTTGCATTGTTTAAAAATAAAATTATAATAATGCAAAATAAATATACATAACATAAAATAACAAAAAGAAGTAAAAAAATCGGATCGATTTTTTACAGGTATCGGTCCGATTCAATATTTTTGGAAAACGCTAAATATCGGTGCTGATCCTATCCGATATTTAATATCGGCACAGCCTTTAGTTAAAAAATAAGTTTTTTCAGAAGATAAAAACACCTTCACAATTTTTTTTCCTTCAAATTTCGTCATCGTCAAAATATAAACAATATTCTTTTTTTATTTGTATTACATTTTTTTGTTTGGGGTTCGAAATTTAAAGGCATGTATGGTAGATATCGTTTTCATAACTAAATATTAAATCTCACATGAAAGAATATTTAAAAAAAATTTATTTAAATATTTATGATAAATTAAAATTTTAAGAATAAAATAAATGGGCTATTTAAATATTAAAAATTTATAAAGTGAACAAAAATCATGATAGTGATTGACGAAAATGTACGAACTATTTCCTCAAATATAAAAAAGAAAAGAAGAATTAAACAAAAATTTTAAACTTTTTGATTCAATATTGCAATATGATATTTCTTTGGTTATTGGGTTATAAACCTTTATAAGATATGAAAAAGTGTTAATAAAAAAATTGGATATTGTGAATGGATATCTTGTCCGACATACTTTTTGCAATTTCTTTTTTCTTATAGCAGTAGGATCCTTTGAAATAATTCTATTCAACAAATTCTGCCTCTTTGGATATCTAAACATTTCATAAACTAATTTTGCACAGCCAGTTATTAGTATAAATTAAATAAAATTTTATTTGGTTGATAAAATTTTGCCCATTAAGATTTAAAAAAAATGTAAGAAAATCTACTTAAAATTTTTGCAAGATAATAATAATAATACACAAGAAAGATTTTAAATTACTTTTACTTCTACAATTAATTTTTGATATGCCCCCCTCCCTAGCTATGTGCATGTATATTTCCAATAGCATAATAATGTTCAGTGGCAGAGTTGGGCAATATAGTGAATATCTAATATACAAGATCGTTTTGTATCTTGAAATCTGTATCTTATTTAACATTGAATGATATGTGGTATTTCTTTATATATTTTTGTTAGTTGGTTTATACATCCCCTCTTATTGGTGGGTCACACACAATTTCTTTATTAAGAAAGAAATGATATTTATTTTTTATTTTGGGTACCTTATACCCTTACTTTATAGATTATTGAGTAGGAGAAATGGTTTCATAAAAAGCATCTTGTATCTAACACACTTATTTAGCAAAATATACATAAAGAATTATAATCTACTTTTTTAGTAACCTGTCCACCTCTACTGAGTGGCAGCTGAAGATGTTAGAGTATTCTTTGTTTTAAAGATTGATTGTTATATTATTAAGGGACAAGCCTTTTTATTATTATAACAGTTTAAATTGTTTTTAAGCCAATATTTTTGTAGAAGTATATATTATAGAAAAACAATAAATTGTAAGTGTATACTTGGATATTATTTATGGTTTGATAAAATGGCCAACTAAATGAATATACCATGGGCCTACCAGTTTTGTTCAAAAAATAATTCATCATTGGATACCCTTGATTGGAGTTAATAGTATGCAATTTATATATAAGGTCATAAATTTTTATAAATAAAATAAGCATATATAAATTATGTTTTATCAACATGTTAAATAAATTGCTAATAGAACAACATTTTTAACCCTAAATGGAAACATGGATAATATAAGCAAATTAGTCCTAGTAATGAAGTGCTCATAAACTAAATTTTTTTATATATAATCTTATTCTTAAGTATTTAATTATTTATAAATGAAAAATTAACAAAAATGTATAAATAAAATATTAAACCTACATCCATAATAATAGGGTCAGTAAAACATCCATCAACCTTTAAATAATCTGCACCCCATTCTGCCATTGTATTTGCATCTATTTCTAAATGATGAATACTGCCAGGAGTGTGACCCATACATGTTTTTTTGCCATAGCTCAAATACATACCAAATTTTAAACCTTTGCTATGGATCTTTAAAAAATTATAAATTTTGTTGATATTTTAATATTAAAAATAAATGCTTACTAACATAGTCTGAGAGATATTTAATACCATGTGGGAATCTAATTTTATCAGGTTGAAGTTTGTAGTTAGTATCCCTTTTTTTATCAGCCCAACAGTCATCAATACAAACGTATTTATATCCAGCATTTTTAAATCCCTTCAAAACAAGCATATCAACCATATCCATAAATAATTTCTCGCTTTAAAAATAAAGATAAATAAATTTTATTGAGTTTAGTCACTTAATGCAAGCATTGGGATATTTAATACAATCTGTATTACACATGAACTTACCCCATGCCATCCAGCCCATTGGTGGTGTTGAGGATATATCATTTTTAAATGAGGATGCTATGCTAATATACGTAAAGAAGTAAACATATGATAGAATCAACATATGATCCATTTCGATAGACTCCACAAGGTTTATATAAAAATGGAATTTATAACTGTTAGTTAACATACAAGTTTTATTAAATAAATATTAAGATTAATAGTTAAAATTTATATAGAATTAGGAAATGTATAAAAAAATAAACTTTTTAAACATCTCTTGGTGATATATCATATCTTATACATCAATAATTCATAATTGTATTGAATATCGTAGGATTTGGTTATTCAAAGCCTATCTTAGCTTTAAACATTGTAATTTAAGGTTTATACGCTCTTATATTACGTTAAGATTTTCACAATAAATATAAACGCATTGTTTGCTCCTATCTTTTTCAAATAAGAGAAATGTATTTTATGTTTATATATTATTGAATCAAGGGGAATATGATGGACGTGATATTAATTCTTTTAAATGTCAGTGTCAATCAAATTATTATTCTTTGTTGTGTTGTCTAATATTGATATCGATTATTATTTTTACTTGTTTGATATTTGTGGCTACATTGGTTGGTAATGGAATTGAGGAACTATCACCAACAACAATCATTATTGATTTCATTATTATGCTTTTGATATTGATTGGCTTAATAAATTTATACTGTCCTAATATATTAGTACAAATCATATTATTCATACACAACGATGATAATTTATACATATAGCAATAATAAGGCCGGTTATGTAATTATAATCTTTCTACATAGCAATAATGCAAGGCAGTTAAATATTATCAATATTATACATACATACTTATTATAAAATATATATAATTAACGAATATACTAATTCATAATATGCGAATAATACAATACCATATATTCATACATATATTTCCATTATATCAATATTATCTAAACATGTATTATAATATCATTATATAATTTATGTATTACTACATTTAGTATTATAATAAATTTATATATATAAAGAAACAAAAAACTAGGACTCTATTGTTCAGTAAAGTTCAAAAAGTATATATTTCGGCATTAGAAGTAGTGTTTTTAAGAATCACTTGAGTTTTATTATAGATTTTAGCCAGAATATTACACAAGACTTAAGATTCCATGTATAAATTTTCTGCCATATATAAGCAAAATCTCCAGGCTTGGGTATAATTTTCTAGTTAAAGAACAAATTTGATAAATAATTTATTCTTCTACCATACCCTTTCACACACGGAAGTATTGCAGGATATAGTTAAAGATTTTTTAAAAAAATTTATTAAGAATATTTTCATCAATATAAACCCCGCTATCGTTTCATATTCATTTAATTTAAAAATTTAATTAGCAACTCCAAAAATTTACCATACCTTTATCGACCCCCTTAGTTATTTACCCTATTTAAAAAAAAACTATGCAAAATGCTCTTACTCTATCCCCTCCTCTTTATGTAGACGCTGTATATATGATTCATTCGCATATAATTTAGTAAAGATTATTTAAAAAATTCCTAAATAATTTTAAAAACATATATTACTTCATAAAAATATATATGTTTAAGGCTATGTTCGAAATTTTTTGAAAAAAGAACCTCAAAATTTATAAATTTTTACAAATTGAAAAAATAATGACACAAAATCTTCTATTATTTTAATAAAGAAAAAAGCAAAGAAAAACAAAAAAAGCAAAAAAACAAACTATTATAACATCTTTTACTCATTTATTTTTTACTTATTAGATAATGAAGAAAGAAGATATTTTAGATGAATGTTTTAAATAATGGTGGAATCAATATTGATGTTGTTAATATTTAGGCAAAAGAAAAGGGGCAATGACAGAGTTGGAGTTAAACAATGTAGAGTTGATTTTGAGATGTAATGGAAATAGAAGCAATATTGATGTTGATGATATTTTAGGCAAAGGAAGATGAGGAAATGAAAGAGTTGGAGTTGAGCAGGGTACATTTAAAATATGGTTTTTCAATTTCACTATGCTTTAGATAATAAAAGAAAATTAATTGTATTTCTGAGAGAGATAAATATTTAAAGCAAAAAAGTTTAGAGAGAGAAAATGGTAAATTATATGTTATTTTATTTGTAAAACAATAGAAGCTATATGTGAGGCTCAATCTGAAGATATCTCTGATGGTAATAAATTTTTTAATGAAATTAAAGATAAAATTAAATATAGGTATGGAATCTGATGAGAATGCTATGTCAAGCCTTATTGTCGGTAGCAACAATCCATATAATGGAGCGGATAATTAATGAAAAAGAATTTTTTTTTATCACTTTTGTTTCTTTACTTGCAAAATTTTTTTATATTTGAAATCACAAATATTTAAAGCTCATTGATATTACAATATATATATTCTGCAATGCAAATATTTAATATACTGTAATAAATAGATACAAATTTTATGCATATTAAATGGCAAAATGAATTTTGAATACTACTATAGAGTTTGCAAATTTCTATATAAAAAGTATATGTTTTTTAAAAAACCAGCCGGAGACCGGGCAAAAGCTTGCCGAAGGTCATAAAAATAGGAGAATAGGGGGGGGGGGTGTAGGTTGTTAGTTGAGGCCCCTAGGATCGTGAAATCTTATGATGCCCCTGCTAAGATAATGGATACTTTCCTTTAACAACAAATGAAGTTAATATATTATTAAATTTTTCCTGAGATATTATTCCATTTATTATTTAAAAACTATATAGCTTTTTGAGTTAATGTTTCATACTTTTCACAATTTCTTTTGGTTTTTTATGTTTGCGTAATACAAGATGATCATAAAATTATTAAATCATCTTAGCTGCAAAAAAATGATTTAAGATTAGATATTTTTTTAAATATTATTCCCTTATATTTAATAAATATTTTTTTTCTTATTCTTTTCAATTCTTGACAATTTTTTCATATTTCACTTCATTATTAATCATTAATATAATAATTTATTTTAAAATACTTTTAAATTTAGCAAATAAAAAATTTGATATTGAATATATAATAAATATCATTATAAATACGATTATTAATAAAACTAAGGCATCACCCTAGTCTGGCCTTCGGTCGGGGAGGGTATAACATGGGAATCACAAATGGTAGGAAATCGAAGATAACCATGAATCATAAATAATGGTAAGTAACAAATAGTAATGAATCACAAAACAGGAGATTTTAAAGTTTTATAAAAAATCAAAATACAAATACTTATGGGGTAGATTAGATAAATTTTTTAAAAAAATGTATCACCCAAATATAAGTGAGTGTTTATCAATAGACTATTTAATGATTAGTAACAATGATAAATAAAAATTATAGAAATATTTACTAATATTATTCAAAATAGTAAGTATATTGGGAATAAAGACGAATTCTGGGCAATTCTCGTGTTATTTTTATACGGTAGAATTAAAATAAAATATTTTTCGGAGAGACCAATTGACAAACTTAAAAGAAAATAGGATCCTTGTGAATAGATATAGAATATTTTAAATAATAAAAATGTCGTAATTAGTATTGTTTTTTTGGATAAATATAAAATCGTATTTAAATAATAAAAATAGAAACCACGTATTGTCTTTTTTATTGAGTTATACAAAAAAGTTATCAGGAATAAAAAGGAATATTGTTAAAAATGTTAACAGAAATAAAAAGGAGTATTGTTAAAAAAAGTAGGATCTTAAGAATAGATATATAATTTTAAATAGATAAAAAAATATTGTAATATATATCGTCTTTTTGGAATAGTTGTAAAATCCTATATAATATTATTTAAATACTAATAATAATGTACTATGTAGTGAGTTATGCAAAATAATCAACAGGGGTAATAAAGAGATTCGGTCCGACAAAATGGTAAATAAAAAAAGTAGGAACCTTAAGAATAGATATATATATTTATTTAAATGATAGAAATAATGTACTCTGTATATTTTCCTGTGAGTTATACAAAATATTTATCAGAGATAAAAGGGCACATTGTTCGGTCCGACAAAATAGGTGGCTTTAAAAATAAGTTGGGTGCTTAAAATAGATATATAAATTTATTTAAATTATAAATAAATATCATACTAAGTATTGTTCTTTGGTATTCGTATAAACCGGGATTAATCGGATATAACCTCATAATACACAACATTGGTTGTAGTTCTTGTTTAATCCTTGGTCATATCAATTAGTTTATAAGGAGAACAAACCCGAGACATAGCCATAAGAGCTATCCATGTAAAAAAACAGGATGTGGTAAATAGATGCCAACTTTGTTTAACGCCTGAGATTTATTAGTTGTCATGACCAAAAGCAAGTCTCACGAGAAATTGGCGGCGCTTAAAGGAAAATAGTAATCCATAATCAATTGAAATTAAACTTATCTATAAATAATAACTCTAGTGCTGAGAAAACAAATTCCGTCAAACAATTGTAATTAAAATTATGACCTTTTAGAATTGAATTTACTTGAATAATATTGAGTTGAATTTAGAATAGAATAATTTTAAGAAAGTATTTATTTCTTCTTTTTTTTGGAAATTGATAAATAATAAGAATAAATAAATCCGTAACGATAACATGACGTCAACATATGAAGGACATCGGAAAATTATAATATAGATTATATAATATACTCTGATGCTAGACGAAATTAGATGATGAGCCTGCTGAAACACTTATAAATTAGTGGCATTCTTTACATTCTGCAGTAATTATAATTTTGATATTAGTATGTTCATCTGGGTGACTTCAAAAGAATTTCCATTTTATATGCTAAATTTATTTTTGCAATTGTATTTTTCTTTTAACACCATTTCTTTCATTTTCTGATTCTATATTTATATTTTCAACTTGGTCCTTAAAATATCATAATTGTTGTTTAAGACACATATAAAATAATTTATCTCGTATACAAGATATTTTTGAAAAGTTTTAAAAGATACAAATATAAACGATATTGCTAGCCCTGTAAACATAATTAAAAAAATATATATACCAAATTATAATTAAATATAAATATATACCTTTATTGATGTGTATAACTTTATTGATTCTTTATTGTAGA